TTAGACTCCTTTAGAAATGAACAAATAGGTGACAGGAATGCCATTTTAGTTTTGTGTCACACAGGGCTCAAGTAATGTATAAATTTACACATTTGTATTCAAAATTTCTAATTTAGAAAAAGAGGACATACTTATGGCATTTCAAAAATATATTTGCCATGCCAAAACCAGCATCAATTTCCATAAGTTAAGAGGAAAAGTATTACAGCTTCTCTGTACTGAAGTATACAATACTGCTAAATTCATATGCTAATTATTCAGTTTAACATTTAGCGACAGTACGCTGGTTGGGATGGCAAGCTAATGTTTAATGATACAATATTATAAAATAAGTTTTTTCAATTAAATACAAATAAAATTTTAATTTTTGAATTTTATTAATTAATGGAAATAATGCATATTATATCATTAAGACATACAAAGGACATACAGACATTTTCGACTGCATCAGTCATAATGGAATTCTTGTGTGTATTGCTTTAGAAAGACTCATTTATGTTACAATTGTAAGTTCAGTGCGCTCTAATGTATATATATATAAAATGAAAGTCAAACAGTTTGTAATCTGCCTCAATGAGATTTATTTATACATGTTTCGGGCATAGCCCATCATCGGGTACATGATGATTTTATATATTGTCACACTGCCTATGCAGCTACTTTGTATACTTGGATATATATAAATCAAGATAGTTTTTAACACAGTTAAATTATATATAAATAATACCTGAATTTGGATTTCATAATGCTATTTCAGAATCACAAGTAGCAACTGGTATTGTACATCATGGCTTCCAGCACTCACCAGAAATTAGCAAGGTAAAAATGTTGGTGATATGATGCTATCCACTCTGGTATCAACACTTCCATCAAATCGAACACTAACAAATGGACAATAACATCAAATTGTGTACAACTGTCAAATGGTTAAACAAAACATGGGATCAACTTACAACAATCTACCTTTATCTGTAAAAGTGATTAAATAACAATAACTGAAAACAATATTAAAACACTTTGGTATGCTAAAACCATGTTTAGATATAAATAGTCCAATTCAATGCAAAGTATTCTTTAGTGCAATTTTCAACAAATTTAAGTTTAACAATGAAAATCGAAAAGGTATGTGCTTTTTGCAATAAATCTTTTTTACATGAATTTTTAATTGCGATTTGAATCATGCTAATGAAATTGATATATGTAAGTTTTAGATGTTTTCCTCCCTTAATATTGGTATTTGTCTTGTATTTTAAATGTTTTTATCATTTCTTGTACTATAAATTGTCTCATTCAATCACTATATACGATTGCAATCAAGTTTAATTTTAATTTGAACTTTGAAAAAAAAAAGACAAATATAATTACAATATTTAATATACCACATATAATATTTCAGTGAGCTTTAATACTTAGGCAAGTGCTGGAGAACGGCGCATTGAAAATATTTTTCACATTATAATCTTTGTATGTTTTAAGGCAATGAAAAGCAGATTTTTAGTTCGGTTTCAATTATATCTATGTATATTAATCAACCAAAGACAAATAAAAAATTGTAAAATATTTGGGCTGCCATTATTTAGACTTCTTGACACAATTAACAGCAAAAAATGATAAAAACCTGCAAAATTTAGAAAATACCCACATTCGACAGAATAAAAGAACATTATGCAAAGTAAAAAAAAAAAAGAGAGTTAAGTTTAGATGTATCATTCTTCATCATTTTACAGATGGTTGCAAGCAAGGCCTTACAATTCTTGGATAAGAAGGATCTTACATGTGCAATCTGCCAACAAAGATTTATAGAGCCGAAGACATTAAATTGCCTCCATAGTTACTGTTTTCACTGTCTGGAAAGTTTAATAAAAGTACATGGCAATTTGAGATGTCCACAATGCAATCAGCATCATGAATTAAAAAATGAAGATTTGAATAAGCTCACTTCTAATGAAATGATAAATTATCTGCTTAAATACGTAGGAAAAGCTGAATTAGAAAAACCAAGTACATGCTCAAGTTGTGATAATCCACCAAAATACCACTGCAATGAATGTTCACTATACTTATGTAAAGAATGCTCCAAACATCACAAGATAATACCTGCATTGAAAGGCCATCCATTGTACACACTTGATGAGAATGAAAAAGGAGGCAAAGATGAACACAACAAATGTCCAACTCATTCCAACAATGTACTGGAATTTTACTGCTCAACATGCAACAAATCAGCATGTGGTGATTGTAAGTATGTGTTGCGTTGCTATCAAAATAAACATAATGTGATACCAATGAAAAATGCTGTGGATGAGTTTAACCATAATGCCACTGAAGTTATGAATATAGCTCAAGGAATTAAAAACAAATTGAAAGGAACACTTGATTCCATCACTCTGGATAGATCTGACTTTGAATATCACCTAAAATTATGCAGAGTAGCTATTGAAGAGAAGGAGAAAACAGTTATCATGAAGGTTAAAGAAAAAAGCAAAGAATTGATATCCGACCTTGAAAAAATACACAAAGAAAAAAAAGATGACATTGATTATCAAGTTGAAGCTATTGATTCAAAGATGACTAAAGTAAATAATGTGATGGCGTCAATCACAAAAATGATAAACAAACCAGACAAAAAAGATGCTCTTGGGTCCAATAGGACAACTATCAACAATGTTAGGGATGAGGTCCTAAGCACCAACTTTGATAAATTATTCTACAAACGAAATATCACACCAAATTTTATCCCATCAACCCACTTTGATGAGTTTACAAAAACAGAGGGCATTGGTAAAATCAAAACTGTTGATGGCATATACATGGTTGCTAAAAACGATGAAGCAATGACTGTCACAAAAGGACAACAAATTGTAGTGACTGTATCAAGCCTAAATGAAAGTGGTGCATGCAAATTATCAGCAACTCTAAAGAACATATCACATGAAGAATCAGCCACTGAGGTAGAATATCAAGGAAATGGAGAGTACAAAATAACAGGTAGATGCAAGTTGGAAGGTGACTGGCAAATGAAGATTTCTGCGGGAGACGTGCAGATCAAAGGATCTCCAGTAAATATCAAGGTGGAATCACTGGGACTTGTTCATACCATTAAAAACATACAAAATTGTAAAGAACATACAAAGGATGGTAAAGTTACAGATGTTGTGTTAGATACAGATGGATGCATACTAGTATCAAGCTTCAGTAAAGATATATTGAAGTTCAACCAATCAGGTTTATTTGTTGATAGGATAGAGATGCCACAAGAAGTGATGGTCAATAAAATGCACCTAATGGATGATGGTTACATGGTGTACATTGATTTCATAGGAAAATGTGTCACGATGTGTGATGATAAATTTCAGGAAATCCACTCTGTTGGTAAAGGAATATTGAAATATCCAATGGGATTGACAGTAAACAAGAAAACTAGAGACCTGTATGTAGCAGATAGTGAGGCTCACTGTGTTTATAAATTCAATGTTGATGATGGTAGACTGCTGGGTAAGATAGGTTCAGAAGGTAGTAACGTAGGTCAACTGAACACACCATACGATGTCACTTTAACTAAGGAAGGTCATGTGATTGTTGTTGACTTTGGAAATAGAAGACTACAAATGTTTGATGCAGATGATAAATTCATGAGAATCCTTGTAGGCAGTGGTGAGAGAGATGGTAAAGTTAAGGGTCCTTGTGGTGTAATCATTGATATGGATGAAAATATAATAGTATCAAGTAATGATAAACTACAATTATTTAATAAAAATTGTATTTTTATAAAAAGAATAGATCATAAAGGTGATGGATTAGATACCCCTGTAGGAATCACTGTAATCTCCAATAGGCCAAGACGAGTAGCAGTAGCAAACCACAAAGCAAACAATGTTAAAATGTTTAATTATTAAATGACATTGAATTGCATGAATTAGAAAATATTGTATCACAATAAATACATTTTTCTCATAAAAATAATGTCATTAGGTACTTGTGTAATAATGTAATTCAAGGATACTGTAATGTAATAATAAATATTTGGGTAATAATTGTAGTTCAAGGATTGTGTTATTACTGCCAGGGATATCCAGCATTTTTTTTAATTGGGAAGTACAACATTTTTAGAATACTTGATAAGTGGGTAGCGCTTGTACCAGCATAGGATTCCAAGAAAGGGTACGGAGGCACCGTGGCTTAAATCCGCCACTGCTGAAAGTCTAGTTAGGCCTATATTGTTGTGATTTCTCATATGAAATATGTAATAAAGCTGGTATAATGCAGTTATGATCCAGGAATTTAAAAATAGGGAGGCCCATGGTGGGACTTTCACAGGTGGAGGTAGACCACCTTGGTTGGGGCTAAGGCAAACAAAATATAATTACGGCACCCGGCTAGATTGTCGGAAATCAGTGGCGGAAGGACCCTTTACGCTGGGTGCCGGAGAGGATGCCGTAGGACGGGGAGGGGGAGGGACCGGTAGGCCCGGTGGGGGTGAAGGCCCTGGTCGCTCCGGCGTTTTTAGCTTTCTCTGACGTATTTTAATGCTTTTTTTACACATTAGAATTCCAAGTTGATGTATCGTGATTTTCCCCCTCAAAAAAGCATACTTAATTTCAACTAAGATAAACATATTACAATAAATACCAAACAAAACGAGCCAATTAAAATCAATAAATATTTATGGACAAAACCATATGCATCATACGTATGTGTAATTGCTTTTGCTCACGTTTCGTTTGTTTCACGTAGCTGTTGGTCTTAATGCTTTTTAAATTGTGTTTTTGTCGCGTTAATATATATAAATACAGTAGATATAAATAAAATAATAGTTACCTTGTATAACGAATGGTTGATAACAAATTTGATAATGATAGAAACAAAAATATTAATTTAACTTCAGCAACCATTTTCCATACAGTGCTGTAGTACTATAATAGTTTTTCACTGTATTTTGAGTGCCGATTATATTGAAGTAACTGCTGCTCTCAGAGATGCAGCAAACAAGGTGGGACCATCTGTTAATAAAAGCGCGCAACAAGTTACAGGCGACTTTGAAGTCGCCGCTACTGTCTATAAAACTTCTATTTGATAATAGTACCCTACTCGAGCAATTTTTTTTTTTCAACAAAACGTAGACTGTCGATAGTGATGATAATAAAAATGCCCCAGTCACTAGGCAGACTTTGATTTGGAAAAAGTTTTAAAAAAATATTTAAATTTGCTGGTGACCCCTTGAGGCTCCGGGGTCTCTGGCTTTAGCCCGTGAGAGTTATAACCGTAACGCCAGTGTCGGAAATGGAACTCCTTGGATGATGAGATTTAGCTATAAAATATAATCGTCACCCTACAATAATAATATATAGGTTTCATTTCATTTTTTTTCATTTTTTATTTCACTTGTAATTTGCAACTTAACTTAACTACTACAAGTGCCGAGGACCAAGGAGGCCATAGGCCTGTAATTAAGGTCCCCGGACTAATCTAATGACCTAACTAATAACAATAAATTAAAAGGATTAAATAATCGAAAAAAAAAAAGAAAAGAAGAGAAGCCAAGCCGGGAAGATTTCAACAGATTGAACATGAGATATGATTTTGTTAATCCTAGTTATCAATTATTATTATTGTCTATTATTATTATTATTATTATTAATATTATT